TGTGTAATAAACTGAACTAGTTTAGGCGAACTTGCACTGTGTCATGGAAATACAAGTGTAGAATGTTGAGAGGGTCAAGATGCTTATTTTTGTGATTTGATGGAAGTTCATAAAATAAGGAATTTGGGAGTTTCCACTGAAGCTATACTTACATATCTGGAAAGGCAATTATAAGCTTTAGTGCGCCTATCATAGACTCACAGTGTGACTTTTGATCTTGAGTGACGAGCAAAGCTGTATTTTTTTAATGATTGACCCCACCTAAGGTGTGGATGTGTCTGTTCTCTGAAGACAGGATAACAGTTGATGCAAATTCTGATCCAGCACCAGCTCTCGCAGTACCAACAGGCTCTACTTCCCAGTAAGAAATCAGAGAACCAGCAAAGAGCATGGGATGGAATGTCAGAACTGGGATTCCCTAAGTGCGTTCTGAGGGCTCCCTGGCAGCAGCAGTTACTTCCTCACTGGAAATTCAGTCCCTCTCCTACCACCCTTCTGTGTTAGGACTGACAGTGCTCGAGCTCAGATAGAACCTGTCTGGGTATTATGTATTAGCTTGTGTCAATCTCACTTTATAACAGTGTTATCGTTGTTATTAAAAAGAGAAAGGTGGTGTTTACCTGACATAACAGAGGCTGCTGGTAAGCACAGCAAAGTGCAGCGAGGGTGGGAGCTGCCTACTGCCCGATTTGTTGTGGCAGGCAAGTTGTTGAATGTACAATTCTACCTGCCACACGTGTACAACTCTGAAGTTAATATTACCCAAGACTAACTTTAATGCTTCCCCCCCCCATTACTGCCTTAAAAAAAAAAAAATATCTAGAATCTGCTGATAGAGACACATGAGCAGAAAGTGCTAACTAGCCTACAGACCAACAGCAGAGACTAAAGGCTGTAATACCATTATTCAGTTTTTCTCCTAATTTTGAAAAATGCTGTTTTGAGCAAATATTTCTCTCTCTCATCTTGCAAACTTCTAAGAGAATCAAATAGTGCAAAAGACCCAAAAAGGTATTTCCAAACAAAACGAACACTCTACACCACTTCTGCTTTTTGGGCATACGTGAGGTTTATCGCGTAGGTTAATTATTAATTCTGCCTCAGCACGAGCTTTGAAAATAATTCTACAGATCTGGTGGATGGGGCTTGCAGAAGTACATCTTGTGCAAAAGCAAATGTTGAACATTAATTAACAATCCCAACTTTAAAAATAATAACTGGATAATACCTAGTTGAGGGTTTAGCATTTCAGTTCTTTAAAATCAAGCTAAAGATCGGGCATTGAAATGCACATCGTTAAACCGCGGTCAAGACTAAATATTTAACTAATACGTTTTATTCTGTTTTTCTTTTTAGACCTCCAAAAGGAAGCGTGGCTACATTAAGAATAAACTAATTTTAAAGAAAGGCAAGAGACCCAACAGGAAGACAGTTTAAATACACTGTTCTGATTGCTAATACGAAGCAGTTGTCCTTGAGATAACCAGTCTTTGCCTTTAGCTCAAGTCATGTTTCACAGCAACATGAGGGTACAGAACCATCATTGGTCCAGATTATTGTACAAAATTTTCAGGCAATGTCTGATTAAAAATATTGGCTTATTGAGAACAGCTGTTTTAGATTTGTAATGTGAAGCAAGACAGAGCTGCTACCCAAGTCTAGCAGCATTTTTATATTGGTACATATTATCCTTCAAATCTGTTGAGAATTTGGACTGACTGCACCAAAGAACCCTGTAATTTGGTCCTTGGCACATGCATACTTGTCAATCTTTTTTGAAAACGGTTCAGCTGAAGAGCAGCAGTACGTAAACTGGAATGGTAAAATCTAAAAATGACTTGTTTTCAACAATTAAGGGAAAGCAGAGCTCTCTGAAATCAAACGTTCACCATAAGTTACTCCCATGATTATTTTTCAATGGTTTCTTTCAGTGTCCTTTTACTCTCGCTGCAGGCTGGTTTGGATCTGGAGTGTAAGAAGCAGAGCTGCACTTTTCACAAGAGGTGACAGGACAGATTAAGCGGATGCTAGTTTAGATCGGACGAGCTGCTTTTGTTTAACAGGGGATTGCAGTGTTGCTGCCTCACACCGTCACTTCAGAAGGTAGACAAGGCAAAGCTTGCACACCGTAGATACAAGGGCTAAATTTGTATCCTGAAAAATCTGAAACGACAGTAATGAATGCTCTAGGAACATATGCCTGAGCACCGCGTAGCGCCTGGTGCTTCAGAACAGAAATCAAACTATTTTAGGTAAATGTTTACATTGGTAAAACAAGCATAGCCTGGTTAATGGGGGGAAATGAAAAAAGGTTGACAGGTATCCCAAACCCCTTTGCTGTGGCTAGCGGAGGCAGAGGATTTACAAACCTCTTCCCCCCCACCCCACCCCTCACTGCCTTTCTCGTGAGGGCAAAAGTTTTTCTGGAAATCTGTTTCTCTGCATTTTTATTTAGAGTGCTTAAATCAATTGAAGAAATTCCTGCTATAGTGCTATTTGCTTTGTCTGTCTTTTATACTGGGCTGGTTTTTTGGTTGTTTTCTTTTTGTTTGTTTTGTTTTGTTTTTTTTTTTTTTAAAAAGCGTGGTAAAAACTGTCACATTAAATGCACTAAAATATAAATGGAGACTGAACATGTTCACTTTCCAGCTATAGGAATACTTTATACAGACTTGAAAATTTACTTTACTTAAAATTGAAAGGGTTTTGCAGTTTGTTTTCCTGCCACAGGTTGTAACTTTTTATAGAAACAAAACTTGCATCAATAATTTGATGTAAATGCAGAATAGTATGTACCTTTCATGAAGAAAATGTAAATTTACAGTGTTCTGTGAGAATGTTACTGCTGACTTCTTTCCCAAGGTGTAGAATATTTTTTTGATTTATGAACTCATTTTTGACTCCGATGGTTTATACAGACCAATCCTACAGCTGCAACATTTTCACAAAGGTAATTCAATCTGGATTTCTGGCCCCCTGTCGTTCGGAGATTTCATTTTATTTTGTTGCTTTAAAGCTCAATGCAGACCAGTTGTTGACTGTAGGGGAAAATAAAGTTAATTCAAGTTTTGTGTTAAGGGTGTTGTGTCAGTTTTGTTGTGATTAACCTGAGCCCCTGTCGCTTTACAGTCCGAGCGATAAATTAAAGCATTTGGACTCCAGAATGCAAATCTGCCCACCTCACAAAGTTGCTGGAACGAAGCCACAGCAGCTACGTCGCGTCGTTCCAGCTTAACTATACGAAGGCAAAGGTAGGGCCTGTGCTGCGACGAAACGAAGGCATGGTGCTCATATCCTCAGAGAGGAGCAGCCCCCTCTCCCCAGCCCCCGCTGCAGGGAATCCCTGGCTCCCTGTGCTGCAGGGGCTTCCCCGGGAGCAGCAGGGGGGATGGCGTGAGGCACCTTTGCCAGACCCCGGGCTCTGCCCAGCGGGGAGCAAGGAGGCAGCGGAACAGCTGCCGCTGGGCAGGCTGGGGCTGGGCAGTGCAAAGGAAAGAAGTTGCCCGCCCAGCTTTACGCTCCCGTCAGGCTGGTTTCTGGTAAGCGTTCTCTTATCAGAATTAAGAAAATCCCGTCAACTGTTACAGCTTTTAAAATGCCACGTGAAAGCAAAATAAGCCAACTGCAGGAATCTTAGCCAGCCTGGGCCTCGAGCTGCCTACCACTTACCTGAGCTTTCTGAAGTCTAACTTGACTTCAAGGCTTTTGCTCATGTCCTGTTTAAAATGAAAAGCTGAAGTCATGAAGGCAACCACCTTGTAACTTTGGTTCCTGTAAGAAGAAGGGGCAGGCGTTGCATCGCCTTCCTGGGTTGGGCAGGAACCTGCACGCCAGGGGGGTTACCTGGCTCCCCCACCTCCCTCCTCAAATTAACCAGCTGAACTAACTTCTACCTTTTCTCCTTGAGAACTGAACCACAACTGTACCCGCAAAGACGACTGGCATCTTGCATCACTACCAAGATACCTCCCGTACTAGTTTATTTCCTTACCTACAGCCATCCTTCTGCTGTTCTACTGGGTAAGAGTTAGAAGTGTAACCGCCACAGAAAGCAGTAAAATCTGAAGGAAAAAAAAAAAAGCAGCTTAAGCCAGGCTCTGGTCTGCAGTTGCTACGGAACTACAACTGCAAGTGCCTAGAAGCCAGTAGGGTGTAAGTTCTGTATTGCACAATCGTTACTGCTGAAATCAGTGGGGGCACACAGGGCTACAGCTAATCCCCGGAGAGAGATTTTGACTTGTAGAAGTAATTCTGTAACAGAAGGGGAGAAAAGTCCTTAGTTACATACCTTGATAGGCTTACTCGTAAAAAAACAGTCAAATGCTTTGACTCCGGTCCCTGTACATATCGATCCTTCTGAGTGGAAGTTAAAGGGTGTTTGGCTCCGACTAAAACTCAATAATGTCTCTAAATCAAATGTATAAATTGCTCCAAGCCCTGGCCTTGAGGCAAGGCACGGAGCACGCCTGGGTCATGCTTCCCATCCTATTTACAGCCGGTGGTGTTTTGTGTTTTGCACAAAACCAAAGTATTCTGGCATCGTGTCTTCCAACAACTGTGGGTGAATGTTTAAAATACACCAGAACCGCATTATTTAGCACTCGGTCACTGTGCAGCAGGACGGATGAAGCCTCTAAGCCCATTTTTCCTCCCCACGCAAGTGTCCACTGCTGCACGAATTCAGAGTTGTATTTTAAGAAGTGTCTAACCGAGAATCTCTGCCAGTGACAAAGATTAAATGAAGTAGGGTATTCACAAACATTAAATGAAGTACGGTGATATTCAGAAAGAAGGGAACACCTTCACCTATCTCCTTTTTGCCAGAAGCAGCCCTGTGTTCCCCAGTCTTCCCCGTGTCTGTGCTGGTGCTGTCCCACGCCAACAAGCCCTTACCTCCAGGGTGCCCGGCCGTAGGAGCGAGCCGGGGTTCCCTTCTCAGCACCACACACCAACACCGGGCACCTAACGCTGCCGTGGAAAGAGACGGGGCATCCCACCACTAAATGAAACAAATCTTTTATTCATGAGCGCCGTCGTCTTAAGTTCACAAATTAGGAAAGGAAGGCAAATCAGAAGAGACTGCCGGAGCATCTTTTAAATGATAAAGGTATAAATTTCTTTCTGAACGTTTCTAAGTTAAGAAAGAAAAAGGTTGCATAGGCTTTCTACAGGTGCGCACAAAAAAAAACTGAAGTACATGGAGGTTTTTACATTACAGTTCAGAGTGTACATTGGCTACTTGAAAAGGAAAATATTTACTTGCAAGTCCAAGACAGCTATTGGAACAACCTACGGAGTAAGGCTTATGAATATTTACTTTTCAGTCCTGTAAAATATACTGAACACACGACTACCAGAAAAATAAAATGACACTTGCAAATCTTGTTCTGGTGTCTCTCGCTGATGGGATCTTTTCGGGAAGGGCCGTTTTTATGTTTGCCTCTCCCAAGTTACTTTGGAAAAGAAACAGTGGTGATGGCATCGGGGGATTCCTCGCAGCATCAGAACGAAACAAAACATTTATCGGAGCACAAGTGGAATGTTCTCGGCATGCAGAAACAACCAACCATGCAGACAGAAAAAATCTTCAATAAATTACAAGCATAAAATGATTCAAATTTCTCCTTAAAAGAACGGCTACGGCATCACTGTAGCCTCGACAGTCAAACCATCAAAGCTGAAAGAGGTCTACTCCTTCAGAGCGCAGGCCTGCAGCCTGACCGAGGTTTTCCATGGCTATTTCTAGTGAGAACGCGGCTTGTTCTTTGGTGTGTGGAAGTCAAGTTCCAGGAGGATGGTCCGTGTGTTTAATTCTGCGTTTTCGAGTGTTCTCCGTGATGATGTTACAAGCTGGACGAATACTTCTAGTTACTTATCAGACTAACCTCGAGAACAAGAGTGGATCCATGATAAAGTTAATTCTTGGAGGTGATAAAGTACACGTTTTCCTGATGATACTCAGTAGTAGGTCAGTGTCATTCCTATGACAGCATCATTTTGGTTTAGTTACAGAAAAACACTCGCTATTCCTAAAAATAAGATTTTTTTTTTTTCATTTAAAAAAAAGTGTCAGTTATAAAATCAAGCTCATACAGTCCACTTTTTTTTTTTTTAAATAGGATTTCAATCATAACATGAATCTTCCTAATGTGCAAAAAAAGGACATACAAGCAGACGAAATAGCATTTAGGAGGAGAAAGGAGCCACACCTTCATTAAGCAGGGAGCTGAATTTCAGATGTGAAGATCTATGAAACATTATGTCCAAACGAACAACTAATGGCATGTTTCCTTGCGTGCACACCTCTGTTCAGCCTTCTGAGTTGCTCAGGAGATTTTACCAACTACCAAAAGAAGTAATTATAAAATGCAGGATGCACAAGAACAGAGATAAGCAGTGCTCTGACCTAAATATCTTTCTGTACTAGGTATAAAGCCTAAGTTATTGTATTAAGGAAGCAGACAAAAGGCACGGAAAAAAAAAATCCGTACTAGAGAAGGGTAGGCATCAATGCTGCTGTATGTTAGAAAGACAGTGGCTTCTGTGTGGGGCACTGAGCTGAAGTCGGCATGTTTTACGTTTGCCTTTTGTTGCCACTTCCCTCAAAAACATCTTCACTTTCAAGAAAAAGGAACTAAAAAGCAACAAAGCCTTATCCCACTTCTAGGATCTACTTGTGGTGTCACAGTGGTTACCTTACAAAGATCAAGCTTCAGGACTGATTACTTCCTTGTGGTTTGGGTCTTTTTTACTTCACAAAACAAATCACATCCCATTTCATTTGCCTAATTAACTACTGCCTCAGTGTAATCATTGAGTAAATTGTTACTTTTCCGTCAGAAGATCGCTGGGCTGAGGCGGCTGGTTATGTATAGCGTGGCTAGTCAGCCAACTACTTCACCCCGACACAACGGACTGGCTCAAAAGCAGAAGAAATCAAACCGCAGGGCTGCTTGGAGCCTCGGGGGGGGAGTGAGGGCCCTGCCCGGCCGGGCTGTGTCGCGGCGGGCCGGGGCAGAACGCGGAACCCCCAAAGCGTGAGCGGGAGCCCGAGCACCTCAGGCAGCAAGGTCAGAATCAGCCGGGCAGCTGGTGCTCTACCCAACAGCTGGAAGAGTGAACAAAGGGAAGAGCGAGGACGCAAGGGGTCAGTGCGAACCAAGTTCTTGAGGAGGTATTGCTAGCGATAAATGGCGGAAAATTCTCACCAGGAGGTGACAGGGAACATGCTCTTCCACCAGCATCCCGAAGCGAGCGCGCCGTCAGTGCAGCATTCGTGTGTCAGAGTGAGTTCCTCAGTGACTGGTTAGACAGAACGATTGCCAGTAAGTGACACGTCACGTTTGAAGTGCAAAACATTTTTGGCAAAAGTGAAAAATAGAAAAACCTTAACCAGTACTAATACAAAAGTGTTTTCTTAAATACTAGCGCAGGGCCTGATCCTGCAAGCACGAAACTCGGGGAACCCCAGCTGAGTCCAGCTGGAGTTCTGTGCCCTAAAACTTAAGAGGAAAAGGTCTTTAGATCGCTGTTAGTGTTTATACTCGTACGTGTAGTGTAAGTAACATACACACAAACACACAGACACTGCGTGTATATAGGGGCGTGTGTGTGGATGGACGTGTGTGTGTGTGTGTGTGTATCCATACGCACAAAATGGCTCCTGAACAAACTTGAGCTCGTGGTTATTTTGAGATGCATCATTCACAGCACGTCGCTTCTCATGAGTATCTGCTGATAAAAGGAGCTGTTCAATGACATCTTGAAGTTATATACTGTTATCATTTTAATGCCTTTAAGGTAAAGTTACGAGGCAACTGCTCTATCCCGTCAGTGGGTCTTCCAGAGAGGATTCAAGTATAGCCAACCATCGCCCTGCAACAAAATTAGGGAGAGTTCACAAACGAGATTCATACGTACGGGATTTGCGGATGTCCATATAAAAGCTAAAATAACATTAATCAACACAAGAACCCATCCCTGCCACCTGAAAATTCTGCGCTTCAGGAGCTTACAGGTCATGCGGGCGGGAGGGGAAAAAAATTACAAGGGGGAGAGAAGCAGTGGGAAGATGCAACAGATGAACTGTTGGTTTAAACAGCTGCACGCCCTGGCTGATGTACCAACAGTCACGTACTAATTCCTTCAGTCAGTCTTATTTCCCTTCCCCTTCTCCTCTAAGCAGGGGCAAAGACGACTTAGTAAAACCTGTTTCATTTCAAGCAGATGAAACCCAGGACTGTTTCAGATGTCCACGCTTACCAACGTTGGGCAAATATCCCTGAGCCGTGTTCGCTTTAGTATCCTGAGATCAAGATTAGCAGGGGATGTGAGTACACAGCATTTGCAAATTCAGGTGTGACTTTTAAGGTAAAAAAGCCACAGCTTTAAGTGCCCAACAGCAGGTACCACAAATTCAGGTTAAAATTAAACTGAAGGGAAATGAACAAGTTGACAACGTGGGCGTGGAAGAACCCATTGCTCTTCCTTAAGAGCCAGACTCTGGCTAAACCCGAATTTAAAGCCGGGGGTTTGTAACACCACCAGCCCACGGTCAGAACCACAGACAAACTCCTTTGTGCTGGCATCCTCCTGTACCCACAAACACGCACGGGGGCTTTAGAAGACGACACGGGAAGTACCTCTTTGGCAAAATACTGGGGTTTCCAGGGCGCCGTAAGCGCCACGCGCTGCCTCTCCTCTGCTCGCTGCCTCTCCTCCAGGCGGTGCTTGTGCTCCGTTGCTGCCTCGATGTTGCCATCCCTCAGGGCATCGGTGACGCGCTGCCAGAGGCGCCTGCGCGACGGACAAGGGGCGCCAGCGCCCGCGTGAGCCCGGCGGCCTCGTGGCAGCCGCGCTCCCGCCCGGCGCGCGCGCTCAACTCCCGGCGTCCTGCCAGCCAAGCCAGCTTCCCCAAGAGCTTTTTGTCTGACCCTTCACAACCTGGCCTTTTTTTCTCAGAGCAGATGGATTCACTCGGATCGTTTTCCTGCTCGCATCCTTCACTGTTGACCCACCCCCAAACGACATGTTTGTTCTGCTTTTATTTGCAGTTACGTTCTTGAATTATAAGGGAACGTTAGCCAGAACCCCAGAGTACATTAAACTGGGACAGGGGCTGCTCCCAGCAGGTTACCAACAGAGGAATGGATGCACTGATTCTAGGGAGCCCATCTAGGTCTGTGCTCTATATTCCCAGCTAACAATAATTATCAGTCTATAACCAAACTTGTTTCTCACACGACTGACCGCAGTGGGAATACAGGAGCCTGGCAAAAGCTTTGCCCAGAAAAATACCGAGAAGAAAGCGACGGCAGCTTTCACCTATTTCCATTTAAGGTTTAAATGAGTTTCTGTTCACAATCTGAGGCGCTGCATATCCCGCAGAAACACTGGGTAGTTGTAATTCACTTACTGGTACCCAAAAATGCAATAAACGCACTGCGGGGCTATTGGTTTCCTTATTTACTCCAACCTCTCTGTCCCAAAACCACAGGGGAAAAATGAGGTTGTGATAAGCAAGCGCGTCCAGCAAGTACGAAAATGATACCTGACCCCGCACAATGACTCAAGACACACCTTTGTACAATAAAGTGAACGTATTTACAGATAATAAACTGGAGCTGAACTCACGGTTTTAAATCCTCCAAGAAAATGTTCTTAAATTCAATAAAGATATTGATTTTTTTCTGAAGATAAGCGTCCACAGTTATGGACAGTGAATACCAGAACACATTTTTTCTAAGGTACCTAGTCAGGCCTGTGATGCGGGTGCGGAGAGCCTTAAAACCACATGTGGTTCTCGCATCACCCTGCATCGTGTTTTACGTGCTTCTGTACATACAAGCGTCCTCAGGTACGTTAAACCTGCAATTCCAGGTCCCTCTGCAAGACGCGACATTACTTGCAACAAGCTGACTGATTTGACACCCCCCCCCCCCCCCCCCCCCCGTCGCAGCCACTCCGAGAAGGTGGGACACCGCATCGCCGTTTTCCAAACGCCCGCTGAAACACACACAACCCTTCCCCTTTCCCCCCCCCCCCCCCCCAACCAGATGTGCACATCACTACAACGACATTTCTGCCCCGAAGAACCGGCGCGCAGCCCCTGCTGCTCGTGCCTGGCTCGCTGTGCTGCAGGAGGCCAGGCGGTTTCCACCCGCGCCGTTGGCAGCCGCGCTTTGGTTCCCCGGCCCGTTGCCACCCGCGGGGCAGAGCCGAGCTCGGACGCCTCCGCGCGTACCTGGACTCCAGCGGGCCCTGCTTTGCGAGCGGCCTGATCTTCTTCCTGCTAACAGGCAGCTTGTTAGTGTCGATCACTTTGGTTTCTCCGTTGCTGTAAGTAAATTCCAGCGTGCCGTTCCATTCTCCCTGTGCCTTGCAGACAATGGTATTAGTGGGGTTGTGTTTCACTTCGGCTGTAACCCTAATTCAAGGGGGAAGAGAGAAAGACCACAGAAATAACTGGTGCCATTTCTAACCGGCCTAGGAAAGCCCTACCGCAGCTAAGGCTACAAGCAGCTTGCTCCACCTAGAAGGTATTTTTTCGAGCAAAGCAGCGACACTGTCCCAGAATAGAAAGGCTCAACCCAAGGAGGCTCTGCAAACACAGCAACAGCTTCTGGACCCCACTCTCCCAAAGCACAGCAGCAGCCCAGCTTAAAGCTCTGCCGCCCCGCTCTCACCCAGGGCTGTTTACCTCCTCAGCCTGACAAACAACTCCTGACAGTCGTGACATTTGCAGCGCACACGTTTTCTTCACACCTGAACATAATGCTGTCGGATACCTATGCCAAAGGCGTACCTCTATATTCTCCTTTAGCTCTGCAAGTTTGCTTCTTGGCTGCTGAGAGGCAATGATTAAAGCTATCTCAGGGGTCCAAGAACCGGTCTGAGAGTGAGCAAAATAGAGAAGTAGGACTGGAAGAACAAAACGCAGGGAGAAGTTTCATGTCTGCGTGCCTTGAACATGCACACACGTGCTTCAGCAAGCCACACGGAGTAATCCATAAACTCAATTAAGTTTTCAAATTATTAAACTAATACAGCACAACCTTCCCCAATTTTCACTCCTCCTGATGGAGCCAATTATTAATCTACGCCTTTTAGAAAAAAAAAAAAACCTGTACAAACAGCCCATGCTGATATTTGCCAGAACACAATATTGCAACGGTTGACACATACGGAAGAATAATCAGGGCAGCTGAAATGAAACAGAGGGAACCGTGCAAAAGCACAGCCTTCTCACGGACACCGCCAGAACAAGGAAGGGGTCTGTGTACATTAACGGTTGGGCCATCGACTTGGGCATGGAAGTAAGACAGGAAGCTGTCTTCCACACTGCCTCTTCACACCCTTAATAAACAGGAACCAAAGACACATAAATAATATTTCCATCCTCTGGAATTTCAGTGCAGAAGGAGGAGTCCCCAGCAGGGAGTTACTGCTACGCGCAACGACACTTTTGCTTCTCTCCTCCTTACAGGAACTCCACCTGCAACACCACTTCATCTACAAGACTCAGAGAAGCAGCAGCTGGTGCAACAGAAATATTGCCTTTTCTACACACATTTTTCTGATCCTGCACTTACAGCAATTTTTACAAGCAACAAAGCCCAGAAGAATACATTAACTTTAGTTTAATGACAGAAATATATCCAATTCAGTTAAACGATGTAAAATATATAACTACAATAAACGGTGCTCTAAAGCTGTAAGTCATCTCAGACACTAACAGGAAAAGAAATTCAGGTATCTGGCTATAAAGTACTCCAACAGAAGAACTGAACAGATGCCCAAGAGCCTTTCCACTGAAATCCAGCAGCAGGTAAACAAGAATAAGATAATAACTCCTGTACCTGTGGACCTTCCCTCCATAGAAGGGCTTGGTGTGGAACGTGACCGTAGCAGAATAGCCCGTCCTGGCACAACTGATGTTGACTTTCCCTCCAAGCTCTACCCACGGGATGGTAAGTATTGAGCGAGCATAGGCACTAGGCAGAGTGAAAACATACTCCTCTTCATGTTCCATCAAGTAAAGGACACCTACGGAGAAAAAAGAGCGAAAGCGAAATGATGGAAGTTCACTGATAAGACCCGACAGTGACTGACCAATTACTGTCATCAAAATGCACTTCTGCGGGGAGCGCAGCGTGCACTTTGCCTTGAGGGAGAGGACTGTCTGCTAAAAAAAAAAAAAAAAAAAAAAAAAAAAAAGATCTGCCCACAGGAACAAATTTCTTCAAACATTTTCAAAAGCACACAGTTTGAACGTGTACCCCGGGGTCCTTCATGGTAACAAACGGCTTATCAGAAAACCTGACTGGATTACTTATTTTGTGATATTGACAAGCAATAAGCTGTTAAAGCTGGGAAAAAAAAAAAAAAAAATAACGCTTGCTTGCAAAAAGCCATACTGAATATTCAGATGCTCACTCAGTGTCGTATCATAATCTCTCTCCAGAAAACAATATGGGCACAGCCAAAGGAGTCCTCAGCCCTCCAGTTATTTAATCAGTCACAGCCAGGTTCTCTCCGCTACTTCCCTACGGGCGCATTTGTTGGTGGGAGTGAAAGGCTCTCCTCCAGGCCTGTCCAGGTGCTAACAGGCAGCACGCTTAAGGAAGCCATCTAGAAATTTCCTATTAAGTTTGCCCCCTCGTTTCCAAAGGCCTGGTTCCTCACAGAGCCTTTGCAAAAGTCTTGCATCATCACCAAGGGGCCACGAGGGCCACCGCTCTGTTACCACCAGGACCAATGTCTCTACCCTGCAGGGAAAATCACGGGCGATTCGATTTCATTCCGTAAAGGTTCCTCCACCCTCAGCATTAGGGGGTTGTACCTAAAAACAACGACATGCAGCAGCAGTAATTTTTGAAGATTATTTGGAACTACAAAGTGGCATGTCTGATCAGATCTTAGCTTCCCCTGGGGTTAAGGACACAGCTCTATCCCCACCACAGCCGCAGTTTGGTCTTCAGGGTGACAAATAACACAGGACATAAGACGAGGTGAAGGGGACCTTAAAACTTGCACATAGGTCCTGCCAAGTATCTGCAGTGTATTTTTTTGATTGGAGTTTTACATTCTTTTGTGTCTCACTTAATAACTGCCTGGAGGCAAAAATGGCAGCTTTGAAAAGAATTTTCACAACAGGGGTTGAAAATAACTATCACAGTAAGCCCTTAGAACCCAGAAATATTTGGGGGGGGAAAAAAAAAAAAAAAAAAAAATCAGGAAAGTTATCTTAATATAGTAATAGTATCTGTTTAGAAACAAGATGAGCTTAAGCCAATTTGCCTTCACCCCGGGGCAGACAGGGGAAGAACACAGTAGTATTGATTAGTTTGTCTATCTATTTAAGTGAATAAAGACACTAACTTTGTAACGTGATCTGACACGTAATGATGAAAAAACACTTAACAGGAACAAGGCACTACCACTGCCAACATAAAAATATGTCCTTAACACTGTATGAAAACACAAACCTGAAACACATTCAAAACCTAAAAACACAGAGATCCAACAGACTCATCATCTTAAACACCAGCTTCAACTATTAGCACTAAAGGCAGGCAGAAGGAAGCTCTGCAGCTTGTCACTTCTGCCCTCAAACTGTTCCATGGGCAAACACCTTTTGCAAAACAATACTTTCATGCTGCTGTTCTCAGGACTTCTGCAACCTCGGCCCACCAGCAACGACACAGCCAGCACTTACACCCCAGCAAGTTTGCCAGAAATGAGCCGGAGAGTGCAAAAGCACAAACACAGAACAGCAACGCCTTGGAAGGACCTTTAATCATTTTGCCTCGGCAGGTCACAAGTTCCTCGTGTCATGTGCCGAACCCTCACCTGTAGGGCCCCAGGAGGACACAGCTGGAACACACAGACACAGCTGGAACACACAGACACACACACATACACACACACACACACACGTATCTTGCCTCAAGCTCCCTCAGCTCCGTGCAGGTGGTAAAACCAAAGCTGAGCGCACTGCAGGAGGGCTGAACTACCCAACTCACCTGGGACAGGCAGCCAGGAAGAACTTTTACTCAGAAAGATGACTCTGCTTATCAAATCCATCAAGTGGATGCTATAATAACATTAAATTAATAAAGAACAATCAAGAAGCCTTTTAACTAGATGATGATATTCAAAAACTATCCAAGAAAGCTAATGGGTACTGATCAAATGCAGAAAGGAAACCTGGCCCTCTCCAGCTGGGCATTTGCCACGGAGAGAACTACAACAGGTTTTAGGCTCGAGTCTGTCAGCCTCCCCTTCTCCTCCTCTTCCCATTTTTTTCTCCACCTTCTTCAGAACAGTCGCAGGCAACGGGCACAGAGCAGCCACCAGCTGCGGGAAACGGCCTGTAGTGCTACCCAGGAGGGCACATTTCCCCAGTCTGAATGTTCTAAGCGCAGACACAACCCTCAGAGGGTCCAAAAGCACAGTCTGCCTCCAAGCACCAGCTTCCGGCGGGACCCTTCGGGGGTTTGGCTGTGCTGAGGTTTTTGTTGTTTTCTTTTCCTCCCCAAAGACAAAAGGTGGGATAGCAGCGCGGTGGGCAGGCGTGGTGCTCACTGCTGGGTGAGAACCTCGCTGTATTTATGAACCACGCCTTCACCTGAGCTTCTCCAGAGCCTCCCGCTTCCCCGGGCCCAGCCACCCACCTCTGACCGCCACTGCACACCCCCCTGCGAGAGGAAACTGCTGTGATCAACACAATTTCCTTCTGGCTTAGTACACATTTGCTTCTGTCTGTCTGATGGGATCAATAGCTTTTTTTTTTCCCTCCATACTCGAGTGGGAGGGATGCAGAGCTCTAATGAACACTGCCAAGCACACTGAAAAGTGAACAGCAAATAACAGCAGTGACCTTCAATGTAAATATTTAACCACCACAGCAAGTTAGATATTAAAAGCTGAACCCAGCTCTCTCGGCAGTATTTTTAGCACCTAGCAGCATATTTTTTGAATTCCTTAAACACCTGAATAAATACATTCTTAATTAAGTGCTATCTCACTCGAAATATGACTCCAGCTCAATAATTATAATCTAGAAGCAAAAAAAAAAAGCGGGGGGGGGGGGGGGGAGGATTTGAAATATCCACCACTTAATACTACTTTTAGTATTAGCATGACTGTTAGTTTTGCATCCCATCGTTTGCAGAGCCCACATGCAAAACCTCGTTTCACTGAAGCGCCATGAAGACTGCAGCTGCACCACCATGTCTGATCTGAGACCCGAGCTCTCTTCGGGAAGAGGGAGACAAAACGACACAGACTCAACATTTGTAACCGCTACCACAACTTGAACTCATGCCCTACCCCCTGCCAAGTTTAATTCTTGAGAAATTAAAGGCAGAAAATCTAAAATCTATCAGCCGTTTTTACAAGCGTTGTATACTTTTAACACTCACTTATAAGTATCATTACATTGTGACTGATCTTTAAAAATACCTGCTGGAAAATATGCAGGCTATTTTTCTTCCCTTGCTTCCCCACCGTAAGGGATTATTCACTTTTAGTTTAAAAATGGCTATAAGTAAATATACGTAAAGTAAATATACATAAAAAGTTCCATTTTCAGTAACGTTCCCTCCTCTCACATCAAAGAATTATTTCAGAAACTGCAAATTCCTTTAAAGAAAATCTGAAGTATTTATAGGCAGTGAGTATACACGGAAGAACGCACCAGGTAAGTAATCTGGGAGGAACAGTGGATTTAGTTATCTAGTTTATTACAAAAATGCCCACAGAGAAGGGTGAATATTTACAAGTGCCGAATTTTGAAATTCCCCCTTGAAATGTCCTCAGCACCGTTTCCTCCTGCTTTTGACTAAGGCACCGTATTCACAGTCACACTCCTTCCCACGACTTCTCAGCCTGCGTTAAAGGAAGTGATGTTCGTGGCATATAATTTCCCCTGTTTGACTATTACACATCCCTCACTGCTGCCGCAGCTTTGTGAATTGATTTTCCAGCCACACATACTGACGAAATACCCAGAGGAGACTCTGGATCGATAAGCTGCAGGAGAGGCATGTGAAATTTAAAGCTTCCCACTGATAGTGTGGAGATCAATCTCACCAACAAATGGTACGTTGGACACAAATGGCCCAGGGCAGTTGCCCGATGTAACAGGCTCTGCACTCTGCACGGTTTGTAACAGGGCACAACCAGGAGGAGGTTACGCCCAGGATGCAGAGCCCCGGGAAAAGGTAAGGGGCCAGAACTGGGCTCCTGTTGTCCCGTAAATATTCCCGCGAGCTGCGCTGCACTGCTCATTTTCCAAAGATTGGAGCCGTTTGCTAAATTAAGTAACGAGTGCCACGCCATACGGAAACTGTTCTGAAACCACTGGGCTAAAAAATATTAGCACAAAAATTAGTGCTAGGGAAATATTTAGGTAGCTCTCGTTGCATAGAGCAGTCAATCTTTGGAACTGGTATACTAAAAAGTCGCTAATGCCTCAGGAACAGAAATTATAGACCTGTACATCTATAAGCATACACATATGCATATTTGCACAGAAAAAAAAAACAAAACAAACAAAAAACCAACCAACCAACCAAAAAAAAAAAAAAACCAAAAAAAAAAAACAGCAACAACAACACAAAACCAACCAAACAAGAGAAACAACATTCATTGCTTTCATTTAGATTTACCCTGGAAAGAGCACTGAACCCTTTCCCTACCTATCACAGCTTTTCAAGGTTGATCTCAGATTAAAAAATAATTTTTGGAAGCCTATTCCTCACTAGTTTTTAAAACATTTAAAACAGCAGGAGTGAAAGCACAGGACGTAACTAGCCACTCGATTATACAGAGCAATCCACTTAAACGTACTTTATGCTCTCTTTGAAATTAACCCATGAGTCAAAGGTGACACTTTTTGTTCGGTTTTGCTGCTTCAGAACAAAACCCAAGAGCAGAGGAGGAACGCGCACAGCCCGCACTGAGGTGGGCTCACCACAGCCTTTTCCACTAAAGCATCCTTACCCTACAACCAGTATCTGTTTGAAGATTCTCTGGACCACATAAAAAACATTAAATATTTACATTGACTCTCCCATCCCTCGCTAATTTAAATCTTAATGTGATCCTATTCATTACACCCTCTTCTCCTCCCTCACTCTCTCATTAGTACATAATTAACATTAACCAGAATCGCGGACTGCGCATGCAACATGAATTCTTTTATGCAAAATACCCTCTCTTCTATTCAGGGTAGCCTCCTCATGAGGAAATTCAATGCTGACTACTCTGAAGAATGGGGTTTTTGTTATATAGTGAAGAAAAAGTTACAACATTTCATTAGCAAGCCAGATTTAGACCCCTCATAACCACAGATGAAGCGCTAGCATATAAAACAGCTTCTCACACAGATTTCCAGCAGTGCTTTCCTCCTCGTTCTGCATTTCTGCAACCGATCCGTATTTTGAATCAACAACAACAAAAAAAAAAAAATCACAGCTAGGAAAAAAAAAAAAAAAAAATAGACATTTTGAGGTGCAACACAGACTAAAAACTGAACAATCAAAATACTGAGCTGTACCCTCTGTATGACAGAACCATACTGCCCTCAAATCTCCTAATTCTTTAAATTCTTACAGAAGCCTTTCTACTTCCGTGACATCCTGTTTCAGCATATCCACTGCTGCTTCTCACAATAAAGCATAGAAAGCAACATTCTCTATACATCTAGGGACATTGTGACAAGTTAAAAAACACAGGCTTCAGAAGCACCACGGAAACATTGCCAGCATGTTCTTTACACAGTATAGGTCCAAAAATTCAGTACTACTTCTGTAAATAGCTCACTGCAGTGGCAAAAGCTTCACTGGATCGTTTGAAGGACACACACAAAACTATTCAGTAGACAGCAAAGTTTCAAAACACATCCCAGTTGCTTGTATCCAACGCTAAGGTCACAAGAAAGTTACAGGTCAAACAAAACTGTTCTGGAACAAGATGGTCACTCCCCACCAGTGAATTATCTAAAACATTAATTGCAGCTCTCTAGTGCTCTGTTTGGAAGGGAAATTTTTTGCCTACGTACATTAAATAGTACTGAATGAATGCATAGTATAATGAAACCACTACACTACCACTAGAATGATTTAAATGAAGTCTCAGAATGGACACAGGTAAATTGGAGACATCTAGGAAACTGCCTTTCTCCTTTCACGCAGAATCTAAAATCCTTACCGATCTAACAAAAAGTCAAAAGCACACATATACATGTAAAGTAAACCCCAGCAACAGCCAAAGAAAGGGCTGAATGCTCATAATGAGGGGAAAAAAAAAAAAAAAAAAAAAGAAGAAAGAACAAGACAAGAAAACCCAGCAACAACACGACCAGTTTGGTCATCCAATGCACCGTAGCAAAAAAAAACAAACCAACCAACCCCAGGGATTTTCATGAGATGTCACTTTGTCTCTTATCAAAAGTAAGATCGGTTTTACTTCAGTAATTTCTGAGAAACTCAATTTGGTTTTAACAACTCAAAGTAAGATTCTACCACCCTAAAAGCCAACCTTGCTGTCATAAAGCTTCTCCTTGTAGCTAACTTTAGTTTCTACCTATCTTAACCACCTTCATACACCTTCTGACTAACAGTGTGTCTTCCTACAATCTACTCTTTCCTAGACTAACTCCCCCCATCTGAAAAGCTGCAATTAATAAAATGTCCTTAAATACACGGAAAAGTCTCCAAATTATATTTCACATTAAAAATTATTAGGCTCTACATTACCAGACATGTAAATACAGACATACTTTTTCCCCACTACATCCAGCAGCTGCTTTTTTTTGGTTCAGCAACATATTTCCCAGTACTCACGCTGACCTCAATCTGATACAGAATTTATACTTAGGCAGCACATGAGAAAGAAACGTCTGCATTAATACTAATTTTTCCACAGCTTGACAAATCTACACACCAGCTTAATTAGGAAGCCTTTCCTGGGAATAAAATAAATTAAAAAAAAAAAAAAAAAAGAAAAAAAAGAAAAAAGAAAATTAACAACGTGTAGTTTCAAGCGAAGAAACAGCACTGCCAAGTAAATGTTTTAAACCAAGGCTGTCAGGTTTAGGCTGGCTGTTTTCAGATGATAGAAAAGCTTCCGTGGCACAACTTCTTGCTGCCTAGTGCCAGTCCTCAACATGTAACAGAAACGCTTGGGCTGCACTGGAGCTCCTCTGTCCCTTCCCAGAAATGCTGTCACCGTGAAGCTGCATGCTCCTGCACTGCTTACACGGCCAAAAAAGACAAACAATAACTGTAGGTTGGTAATCCCAAACTTCTTCCCAAAATGCCCACCATAAAGACAGCAGCAAACCTTGCAGTAAGAGTTCACTGTTGCCAATGTTCCCCAAAGCCTGCCCCCACTCTGCAGGTATCTCCAGGATCATGGAAAAAAAAAGGGAGAGGGGAGAACTTATTCTCACAAACACGTATTAAACAATCCTTAGGGTAGGGAAGGTTTCTTCTTCTACGAAGTTCCTAGAACCTTTCCCTCTCAAAACTGGGACACATCAAGACTTTGAAGTCTTAAATAACCCCCACAGTAGACACCCCCCATTCCAGGGAACGGTGTGGGCTAGCAGCAAGAAAAAAAAATTTCCCTACTCCTACCTAATCCTAAGTGATTCGGTGTTTAATTTTGCTTCCATTAAATTTCCCCCTTCACTGAGAAAAAGAGTACTAGAAACAATTATGTACCAGAAAAATACAGCAAGTTAAACCAGTGACTCAGGCTGGCAGTGGCCCAGTCAGGAAACAGCCAGAGAGACTCATTTCCCTTCTGACACTCCCTTCCCAACTTCCTTAACTCCGTATTGAAAGCAAAATACCTAAATCATAGGAAGAAGGAAACAGCAGTGCCACTACAGACTTTAACTATCACAACAATATCAAATCCAGTAGTAAGGAAGTTTCATGGCTCTTCTACAAAAAGGGAATATATTGCCATCTGAAAAGAAGCTACTGTAGCCTTTTCTACTTTATGAGTTTGTTCTTCAGTTCTAGCTAGTAGAAATAGCAGAACACACCTGCATGTTTTCACCATAATCGTTCTGTTGTTATTAATATGCAAAACCAAATCACGACATTTCCCAGTCTAATATTTTACTACCTTTAATATCATAGTATTTAACATAATGATGACAAAAAGAAGCATTTACCGTAAGTGTCCTGGTACTCCTGAGACTACAGTCTAAAAACTAATTAAGACAAAACACTAAAAAACATACACAGAAAATTACCCTCAAATCACAAAAGGGACTAAATTGCTTAGAAACATTAAATCAATACAGTAGCAGTCAGTAACAGCACTGGTACAGGTGCGCTTACCAGATCAGATCAGTCATTAAGAACTTGTTACGATCCCCTGTATTTCTGAATTTGTGTTGAGCAATGACTTAACACAAAGCAGAATATATATGTATGATACAGCAAATCACTATTTATATCTCAACTGCATGACTTTCTATAAAGCTTGAGATAATATACTAACTTTGTAAACACTACAGAAACCGTGGCTCACTCTTTGCAGAAACTACAAAAAAAAAAGAATGTTAGGCTTAAGTAAAAACATGGGGTTTCCTATTGCTTTGTTCCAGTTGTGAAACTGTCCCATACTGAATCATGTATTACTTTAGAAGTGAGCAAAACAAAAAAAGTTCTTACAGAATATGCTGTCGGTAGACATTTGCTACTACAACTTAATTATATCTGATAGTACAGTCATATGTACAGACTCATATATATATAAGCACACATTTATATATGCAATGTGTCTCTTGTGTTCAGTCTGGACAGAAAAAGGTTGTATGAACCCTACTGTTTTAACTCCAAACTTCACAATAACACATAGCCACAAAGTTCAAACGAAAGGTCAGAGGGAGAGAAAGCAGGAAAATATCTGGATTTCTGTTGTGTTGACACCTACAACATTAGGTAACCAAAAAAAAAAAAAAAAAAAAAAAGCACATTTCTTACCTTCACCTACCATAGAAACACCTATTGACATGCCCATAAACTTGCTTTTGGTCCATACGTGAGCGTTCACACACATTTTCTTCTCTTTGCACTCACAGTAAAAGCAAGAGACGGGTGGATGATGGGATACTTGTTCAGCTACAAACCTCAGCTTGTAGCACGTGGACTGGTCCTGGCCAAACTCCTTGGTTGGGTCCTTAGCAACCACGGAGGCACCGTTAGTTCTGAATGCTTTCACTTTATCTTTAGGCACATCCCACGAGCAATGAAACGTTTCGCCAATTATAGGGTTATAGGGCTTCTTGGCAACGGCTCCCTTTCGGCCTTCGTGAAAAGCTGTTAGATAATACTCCACAAAGCAGATAATTCTTTCCTCAGGAGTGGCTCCAGCTGCAATTGACAAAAACAGGTCTGGATGGGCCATGAAATTTGCATACATCTCCAGCAGGGATCTTTTCTCCAAAATAAATGTTGGAAGCACTACCTGTATGCAAAGCAGACAAAGGCAGATATGATTTCCCCATGATCATACTACCACGGGGGGAGGGGGGGGAGAACAGTTAAGACAGCTGCAATTCTGGCCTGCCAAGTTTCAGGACAGTGTATTTTCCTCCCCTGCCACAGCAATTTTATTTTCTTTACACTGTAACTAACAAGCGGAGGAAAAAGCAGCGGCCTGGATGGCCATGCAGGCTGTTTCCTGTTTCATTATGATTCTCAACAGCAGCTCACACGACGTGGAAATCTGCCTTTTCCTCTCCTCTCAGTTAACAAACCAACCATTGTTCTCCTTGTTTACAAGGCATAAAAAACATACTCTGATGTAAACTAATTTACATTGAACATAAACAAGTCCTCCAAAAAGGAAGGGGCACACCCTCCCAAACTGCTAGAAGATGAGTATTTTAAACAGACCCATCCCCAACCTGTAAGTGATGGTTGGTGTAAGGGGTACATCTACCCATCCTGTCAAACATCTGAGCTCCCAGTTTCACTCCCGCACCCTCGACCACTCACTGCGTATGTATTAGATCCCTTCCAGCCTCTAACAAACCAAGCCAACGAGATCCAACCAAAACCAAATCTCATGTGTGTTTCCAGGGATAAAACCATGCCAAGGACTCTTCCCACGAGGCTACAGGCAAGCAGACGCTCCCCGGGTGACTCTATGCTGTCACTGGATGTCATGCCCCCCTCCCAAGTGAAATCCCTTGCCAACTCCGTGCTCTCCTGTCACCCCCAGGGCACACGGCACGTCCCCTCAGTTCGAGATCGTACCGCACTACTGTGGTGGGCCCTTGCATGCCTTCGCCTTCTTTCAGACGAGTCGAAACAAATAAAGACTGCACAACCTCCTACATTAATGTCCTGGGACTAGAGAGGCTCCAGGCGGCCCAGAAACACTCTGAGACTGAGCACGAGGCAGCCTGCACCGGAGGGAGCCAGCCCTGGGGGATTTGGAGGCAGTCTCCAGTGACTCATGGAGCAACAGAGATGTCGCCAAAGTCACCCACTGAGGAATAACTCCTTGTTAAAAGATTTCAGTGAAGCTTCCTGGAGCGCACTGCAAGGCAGACAAGGGCTACAGGACCTGAAACAATTTATTTCTCCCTCCTTTCCTTCTCCACGATGCTCCACACTTCGTGTGGGACCGTCCCAGGGGAGCTCAGAGGTCACTCCTGCATGACGAACAAGGAGCTTCTGGTACACACAGAGTTGTCTAGAATCAAAGTGGCTCAATGATGCCAGATGCAGACCAACACCTGTCCTCTATTAAAGCAATTCTTCTGCTCTCCTATTGAATTCTTCGCTGCATTTACTTTTTCCCTTTCCAAAAAGCAAGGGTTATTTACAGCTGGCCGGGAGCCACCCTTCAATCCTAAACACATTTGCTTTCCCCACTGCTGCCCCAGCTTGCTATTCGAAGTGGGACCAAAGCACAGTTCAGTCCTTTTGGATCCCATGCGTAATGAAACGGAAGCTGTCAAACTTTTACTAATCATTTAGTTCCTTTCAAAGAAAACTTGTAAACATGAAAAAAAATTCCAGTCACAACAGCTCAAATGCAGTCAGTCAACATAGCACAACTGCAAAAAAAGGTAACTGAGCCATTCGGTAACATGCACGCCCAGTCACTCTCTCCTGTATACTATTTACACACATATAGTCTTACACAGGCTAATAATTTTTACAAGTTTAGCTACAAATCGAGCAAAGTTTCATCTGTAGTATTCCTCCGACTCTACTCTGCAAGTCTTGAGGATTCTGCATGGTCTCTGTTACCAATCCAACAAGGCCCCAAAAGGTGCAGGACCTTCACCTTACGCTATGCATGGCAAACTGAGTGATAGAGAGAGCCTACACTCCCCATGCTGGGGTGATAGCGGGGGGCTGAGGAGACTGGGTTTCAAAAGTGAAATCTAAAAGTTTGGAAGGCAAAGTAGAAAGGCAGTAGATTTTCTTAGAGTAGATTTAGCTCTTTAAACAATTCCATCTTACTTGCAGCATTCTCATTCTGACCAAATATTCATTATCCAATATAATCTTTAAAAAATGCAATTCAGTATTGCTGACCCTCAATACAGGATCTCATTTTAATATAAAACTCAAATATCAGGTTATCAAAGGGGAAACTGACAGCAAAACATAAGAAAAAAACCCCACATCACTTCTGTCTAGAAAAATTAGTAGTGACTGTCATGAGTTCACTGCACAGACTTGAAAGGGCAAAGAAACTCATTTGAATCAACAGCATTGCATCTCGTTATGTCCAAGTCTCTCTCTGAAAAGAGTGACCTTTATTAGCACAAATGGAAGAGAAGAAAACTACAGACCATACTTAAGATGATGCAAATTTTATGGTACAACATTAAGACTGCTGTGGTTTCATCCTGCTGACTTGATCACGCTGTCCTCATATCTACTCCCTCAAGTACTAGCTGGGTGCTTTGCAGCTACGTACTTAACACAGCCACACCAACACAGCCACTAAATGAGATGTTACGAATCACTGGACTCTTACTATTCCATTTCAAGAAACAATTTAAAACCTGAATAAAACTTGAACTCCAGCTCAAGTGATCTTGCTTTAAAAGCCCAACTAAGATGGAAACTACATCCTTAATGGTAGCAGGAAAGGAACCCGTGCAAAATGCAGAATGATTGAATTGTTTCCACAAAAGGAGGTAGAACTAAGTATTAAAAATATTTGAGTTTTAAAGCTTACACAACTCCAGAATTACAAAATACGTCTAGAAAACATTGCCTTTTACTAAATACTCTCGCAGCCTTGGAGTCTGAATATGCAACACCACCACCCACTAATATAGTCCAGAAAAAAAAAAAGAAAGAAATCACACAAGTTTGGTTTGGTTTTTTTTTTAATTGGCCCTATCTTGATTTCTGTAGAAATAAGCAAAATAGAAACAAATTTGGAAGTGTACAGCATTCTTCTTGCCAGCATTGGACTGTCAAGCGCTTGTGCTTGTACTCCAGCTTCCAAAGGAACGAGGTTTTCAACTCTTCTGCAGCCAACAATGAACTGTCCAGAAAAACACACTTAGAACCTGTGTTCTTTATATCAGTTTTAGACTGGACTACAACAATTATATTTTTTATAATTGCCTAAAAAGCCAAAACTGCCTAATTTTTTCCTCCGAGAAAAAGCCAGCATGACAACCAAATGAACTAAAGAATCTCTCTGGAAAAAATACCAAGGTTGCTGAAGTCTAAAGCAAAAAAATCTCCTGACTGTATTCTAAAATGTTGATCTCCGTTCTTATTCCTTCTCAGGCTTCAGGTGAAAAGGAAGCAGTTTAACAGGCATTCTTCTGTTTTCATTGAGGTTAAAGAGATACTGGTTCAAAGCTTGATCATAATCTCCTAGATTTGAATTAATCTATACTTAACTGACTTCTTACGAACGGAGATGTTTACCCTGCTACTATTTACTGTGAGGCAAAACACGGGTGTCAGCACCATTCTCTTCTTTTTTCAAAAATCTGACGAAGGTACCCCCTTACTGAGATGTCCCTCTCTTAGAGGTACAAAAGTTTTCCACTGCCATCTGTGTTGCTATTGAAATAAAACAAGCTATTTTCATCCCACTTAGATTTTAAAATCACAAGGTAAAAGTATATTGACAAGCAAATTAAAAACTTATGACATTGTGAACATACTACAGCATTAATTTAAAACAGGTTGGTATTTTGCAGAATTACTAGCAGCCCTTTACTTTTAGCGCATATTAACTGCATAGGGAAGGTGAGGGAATGCAGGGGAACCATCACCCATCTGTACAAACTGTTAGCATTAACTGCAATACATTAGATGCCATTTGCCAACGAATTTATCAGGCTGCCAGCGGGGTTTTTGGCACTGTTTTTCATTTTTTAGAAGTCCAAATAACAAAAAATTTAGAAACTTATTTTTTCCCCAGCAATTCCAATTTTAAATGAGGTTTAAAGTCTTAGCTCAGTCCAAGACATCAGTTGTGTACTACGTTCTGCTGTTGTGAACTGCTCTCTCACCCAACTCTCTCTAGCAGGTACTGAAGTCTATTTGGCCTCCACAGAATCTAGCGTGCTGTGGCAAATCCCCATGGAGATTTAGTACTTCATTGCGGGCGTTTTCATTCACAGTAGATTTTTACTGTTTAACTCCTCATTAAAAGGCATGACAGCATGACACATTTCAAAAGTGAAGCACCTTTGCAACATTAAATGTGGCTATCGTCACTGTGGGAAATCGGTATCAGCACAGGCAAGGCCAAGAGCAACATAAGCGATCACCCTGTAGGAAAAGGAAAAGATGCTGTTTCCTCTGATATGGTGCATAAAGGTAATGATTATGCATCCAGAACCCAAACCCACCAAGGGCTCAGAAAACTGGTTTCTTCACAAATGTATCACGTTACAATCCATCGCTCACAAAATGAACCAAAGAAACAACCCTAGGGAAGAAGGCACAGGAAAACGAAAATAGAGAAAACATCCTCTGATATTCTTGACTACTGTGCCACAACCACTTCCAGCAGAGGCTGACTAGCATCAAGGCTATCTGGAATCTGACTTTCAGAGGAATAATGAAATATGAGAAGAGGTGTAGCCAACAAACCAAGCTTTATTGGCACGTGTGTGGCCCTAAGGGCCTTATGTCAGTAAGCAAAGTTAATAAAAAAAGCAGCCAGCTGTCTTGTAATTTACATTTTTTAATCCTCACAATGGTCAGAAAAGTCATACGCACATGTGGCACATCTCATTAATACTCATCACGTGTATTTGTGCATCACTCAGACTAGTGATAGATCTAACTCTGCCATATGCCTGTTCCTCTTTTCATACTGTGGGTATTATACACACACATTTATGCATACTTATTTTTTGCCATACTATAGCTCTGATAATATTCATCATTATCCTCAATTACCGTGCTCTAAGAACACTACCTTAGGAACAGGTTGTCATAAATGTTTACCTTCCTACTTTTCTTAGAAGTGTCTACACTTGTCTTATTTACAGGAATTTCTCTTATTAACATTAACTGTGTGTCTTGGGGATTTTGTCTCCTCTGCTGTGACAAAAAGACGACATTGGAAATCAGGGAGAAAAAAAAAAATTCCTCTTCATTAACAAAGAAAATGTTTTGAAGACACAAGAGAAACAGGTAAGGAATCTTACTGTCATTCAAAGACTCAGACAGCCTTAGCAAACAGACACAGAAAAGAGCAAGAGCTATGAAAAACTGAGGAATGTAAAAACAAAACCAAAAATTAACTGCACATAACCCCACACATACTAAGAAGGAACAGGTATAAATTATTCACAGATGAAATGATGAAACTTTTTCTATTTAGAACAAAACTTTAATTTCTGTGCAGCTATTCAATAGCTATACTTAGCAACAGATCATGGGATTGCAGAGTCTTAAAAATTTCAGTATTTTTAAATACTGTCAATTGTTCCAGTGGAAGCAGAAACGACTATATTGAGAAAGCCTTATTTTTTAAGAAAATGTTTGTAAAAATAGATTTTGATTATGTAAGATCAAATGGAAAGCAGATGAACTCTTCAGAATATCAAAATGCCCGTGAGAAGACTCTCCTGTAAAGCTACTTCAAGCACAAGGGAAATTCTCTGGTCATTCCAAACTATTTTTTATTTGTGGAGGGTGTGTCACAGTAAGTTCTTCTTATTTGTGAGAAGTAGGTTATAAGGGTTTTATGTGAGTTTTTTTAAAGAAGAAAACCTTTGTGGAAGGAAACTGTGTTCCATATCTTTACAAAAATCCACTTAATTTATTAAGCTCCCTGAGAAGGTTTCACTGGACTATTCAACAAGAGGCACTCCCTGCTTCCAGAACACCTATCTCATTTCCAGAACTCGAAGGACTAGGAAATTTCCCAGACACCTTAACTTCTCCGATCATATCAGCATGGATAAGCTCATAATGATACTGGTTCCAGGACCAGAAGGATGCACAGAAGCTTAAACCAGTGAGCTGCGTAGCAAAGACCACAACAGTGATACACTGAAGACGTCTTTACCATCGTGTGGTTTTTGAAGCTGCCAAGTAATTAAATGGAACCCAATCCAGAAAGCAGTAACTGGAGCACGTATCTCCTCCATCCATCCAAATGCCATTATTGTTCCTCAAACACTCAGTGCACCCTGACTTAACATACAAGTGGGATACATACATACCATATGGTTGCTTTGAAAGTTAAAAAAAAAATAAGGAAGAGTTTAGGGGTTTTTTTCTTCTTTTTCCCTTCCCTTCTCCCCACCCCTAAAGTATCTTCTATGGTCACTTCGTGTGAAAGCCTGCCTAGCAGGTGACAAGGCTCCACGACTCTCTGGAATCACACCTTTAAAGAGGGAAACTTCCTTATCCACGGGGGCAAAACATGCTCACAGGAATCACACATGTGCGGATGCACACACACACAGGAAGATGAGAATAAGAAAAAATAATGAATAATTATAAAAGAAATAGTGTCCATACCCTGGTAAGGTCCATGCCAAGTTTCAGCTGAGAAATGAGATGGAGAATTACGCTACGTTGATCATCCATGACTCCTAAATCCTCTTCTTCATTATCTTCAGTATCTGTCATTTCATCTTCAACTAGGATCAACTCAGAAGCTGAATGCTGAAATGAAAAGAAACATCACCATCTGGACAAAAAGATACAGTATGTCTTTTTCCACTATATATGTTTAAAAATGGAGCTGTCTCAACGGAACCAAAGACAGCCCCTGTTAAAACCAAGAAAAGTTACAAATTCAGAATAAAAATATCCAGTGATGCATTCATAGAGCATTTTGATCTTATTCTCGGGACAAGGATGGTAAGTATCAGATGCTAATTTACAAGTTATCTTCTCATATTTACATTTCAGTAATGCCAGACAAAAATCACAGCATATTGAAGTAATGGGTCTTCTATTTATTAAATAGTACACAGTTGAAAATGTGTCTTCAAGAGTGTGTTTCATAAATCTCTCCAGCAAATATTCATACTTCATACCTAGATGTTGCATGACCTAATTTCACACTTTCTTTTTTTTTCCCCCTTTCCTCTATCCAACTTCCAAGTTATATATATAAGCAAATCAAGACTATTAACTGAAGGAGATATAAAGAAGACTATAATTAAACTACACACCTTTGGGAAAACAAACAAACAAACACACACACACACACACACATTAGAATCTGGGAGGTAAGGCAATGCCATGAGTCTTTATGACATTTGCAACACTGGGCTGCTTCACAGCACAATGATGCCAATACTGCCCAGTTCCAGACATAAAAAATTAAGATCAAGAGAGAGGCATCATGCCACCCCCCTTCAAGAGGAACTTCACAGCAGAAAGGGATAATGATTTGTCCTGTTTTGTTTTTCCTCAGGGATTCCAATATTTTACTAACAATAATCCAAACAGGTGGTAGCTATTTTGTTCAATCCATTTAAAGCACTCTGCAAGCCTTCCAGATATGTATTCAGGTAAGGTTTTTGTACTTAAAAAAAGTCGAGTTGTGTATCTGAAAAATTTACAGCCCAGCATTTCATTATTGACCAAGGATTCCATGCTGTAAATGAGACAACACTACCTGCAAAAGTTAGCATTCCTTCAGGCTAAACAGCATTTCTGCAGAAGCAGCTAGTTCATTATGTAAAATGAGATATTTTTGATCTCACTGTGAAAGTCTTTGGAACTGAAAAGTTTCATTAAAACCAGCTGATATTCAGAATTAAGTTTCAAAGAAATATTTCTGAATGACCACAATATAGAGCCCTCAGGCAAAGAGCAGCTTGTGTAAGGAAAGTGTCTCTGAAATGCAGTTACTACAGATTTTTCCAAGATTTGAATAAAGTGTTTTCCTTTTTTCACCTCTTTTTTTTTTTTTTTTTTTAGAAAAAAAAAAAAAAAAAACCAACCCTATAAGTTTAGGTAGCTATTCCCAAAAGAATAGCTATTTGGTGAAGCCCAAGGACATTCAAAAGACACTTTACAATTACTTTATTTAGAAAGCAGAATATGTAGATTACGTAAAACAGAATCTGGTGAGCTGTAACCTCAACAGCTTGGAGCTCTTCAAAATGACAAAACCACACTTTCTTCTTCCCACTCCCCTCAGAAATTAAAAGGATAGAACGATAAGCCCTTTGCTCCCCAAATGCACAGCATTAGTATCTAACTGATGCCTTACTGTCAAGTTCAATTAACATAAAACCTGACAGCCTCATATAAAATTATCAGTTGGAGAGACATAAAGCACCGAAGCCTGACTCAGTTGTACAGGTTACAATTCGTACGGAGGGAGCGCGGAAAAAGGAGGATCAGAACTTACAGAAGATGCTTCCACAGGAGGTTTCCCTTTGATCCAGCTTGACCTCATTGAGAGCAGTGAGCTACCGAATAAGCACTGCTGCTTCTGTTACTGCCATGAACTGAGCTCGCGGCAAACAAGCTCCAGCAGGAATTAATAGCATTAGAAAAAAAAAGCAAGGGAACCTCCCCTCCTCATTCCCACCCCCTTTTTTTTTTTTTTTTTTTTTTTTTTTTTCCTCCTCTTTTTTTTGGCTATCCGACAAGTTGGAGAGGGTGCACCGGATGTCAATCTGCTCCTTGCGTTTCCAGTCACATGGCACTGCGATCAGCGAGCTCAACCGCACACAGCTCCAACCGGGAAATGGTGCTGCTCCCCCCCAAAGGAGAGCTCGGAGGGCTGTGCTCCGGGCGGGGGCACAAGGGTGGGTGAGTGTGCACAAGTGTGAGAGAAAGAGAACATGCTAGCAGGGAACACGCTTTCAAGTGAACATTTAACAGCTGCATAGCCTTTAGTGGTTAACAGCATCAGAAAATAAACAAATCACACATCGGCAAGGTCACAGACTAAATCATATATTGAGCAATTCCTTTTTCTCCTGAAGATTTCATACTCCGCCATGGACAGAAATCCTTCTTCCCTGCTAAAATAAGCATTAGGTTATCCATGCCTTTTACTAACAAAACAGCAACTGCCTGTCATTGCTACTCTACAAGCCTATCAACAGTTTAGATGCTAAGGAAAGCAGTGTTTGCACTGTTTTAACAGACTTTCTGCTCATCAGGGGGGATAAGTACAATGTAACACCAGGAACAAACGTGTTTAATGACCATTCTGCAATAAGGACTATAAATTTAATCATCTTAACAATCCCTCACTTTACGAACCCATGCAAGGGCACCAAAAATCCCCCAACTCTAATAGTAGAGTTATCAACATACTAGTGACCTTCAGTGCATGTAGAATGGCACTCGTCTGCATCTTTTCTCACTTTCCAAGAAAACAAGAACTTAAACAGCAGTTTACAACTTATGTCACAGGAATTGAACGGCACTTCTCTTCAGTAAGCAATATCCTTCCCGTATTTCCCTCTCCTCTCATTAGCTGTTCCAGGTAATTACTGAATTGCTTTTTAAGAGCACAGAAAACAGACATTTCTTTTTTAACTAACAGATATTTTCTTTTAAAAAAACAACCATCTAAGCACAACACAGAGTGTGAAGACATACAGCCCCAAAATACAAAGCTACTGTATCTTTAAAGTGTCACAGAAGTCCAAGCAGGTTTTTAATTCTTCTTCTTTCCACAGCAACGGCATGCAGTTCAGCAGCAAGCAATGCGTAAGCATTCAGTGGAATGCAAAAGCTTATGTTGAGCGATTATCCTTTAATGGCAGCTTTTCTGAATTATCAGACACGAACATATATTTCCAGCTTGCAAAGCTGAACTAGCAAGGCAGTGATCTGCTCCATTTCTGTGTGGCCAGGGCATAACGTAACAGCTACTGAGCTGGGCACAACTCCTCCTGGGAATGAACAGCACAGCTAAGCTTGGGGGCTAACCCTGAGGATCAAATACTGAAGCAGTTGCAAACAAGAACCAAAAAGGGGCTTATCTTTAAAATCATTTTAATCAAGATGAGTTTCCAACACTGGGCTGAAGCCCCAGGATTCTTCAGAAAAATCTGAATGCAAAGTAACAAATCATTTCTAGAAATCCCAGGAAAGGATTCACTTCAAAGTTTAAAGGCTGAAGACATGGAAACACACGCTGGCAGAGAGCTATTTTAAACAAGTCACTTGAACTGGGATTGATTAATCTAGAGAGGTCATCTGCTGGGATATGAAATGGATGTTCTAGTGAGCAGTCTTCATCAAAAAACATGCTGATTCTTTTTTAACAGATGAAACCTGCAAGTGAAAGAAATTGTTTCTGAAGGAAACATTCTGCATTTTAAAAAAAATATCTTAAGGAATAAGACACTTCAACAAGCCTGGCATAGAATCATGGAGCTAAGTGCTACATTTCCCTCAAAGGGCAAACCTGACTCTGTTCTTCCAAAGCCTCTTCCACAAGTTAATTTTTCAAATTAACTGCTGTGCTGGAAATTAATTTTTAGATAATTAGTTCAGTTATAAGGCTCAGAGCTTGGTTTTCCAACATACTTCACAAACCGTATCACACAAGAGTACTGTCAAGCATGACATGGATCTTGTTTATTTGTTGCAGGGGAGAGAAAGGAATATACAGAATGGCAGTCCCATTTAGGTTGGAATGGACCTCCTGAGATCATCTTGTCCCACACACTGCTCAAGCAGCATCACCTCAAATCAGGTGCTGAGGACCGGGTCCAGCTAGGTTTTGAGTATCTCCAAGGATGCAGGCTCCACAACCTCTCTAGGCAACCTGTGCCAGTGTTTGACCATCCTCCTCGTGAAAAAATCATTCCTCCATGTTCAGATGGACTTTCCTGTGCCCGCTGCCTCTTGTTCTGTCACTGGGCACTATTGAGAAGGCACCGGCTCCCTGTTCTTCACTCCCTCCCATCAGGTATTTATATACACCGGTAAGATCCCCCCAAGCCTTCTCTCCCGCAGGCTGCACCGTCCCAGCTCTCTCAGCCTCTCCTCTTGTGAAGGATGCTCCAGAGCCTTCATCATCTTTGTGGACCTGTGCTGGACTCCCTCCAGTACGTCCATGTCTCTCTCATACCGGGGAGCCCCAAACTGCACACACCACCACAGATGTGGCCTCACCTGGGCCAAGCAGAGGGGAAGGATCTCGACCCGATGGCAACACTCTTCCTAAAGCAGCCCAGGATGCTGTTGGCTGCCTTTGCCACCAGAGTGCATTGCTGGCTCGTGGTCAGCTCGTCGTCCACCAAGATCCCAAGGTCTTCTCTGCACAACTACTTTCCAGCCAGTTGCCCCCCAGCCTGTACTGGTGCAGGGGCTTACCCTCAGATATCCCCAGATGCAGAACTTCACATTTCGCTGCGTTGAACTTGATGAGACTTCTCTCTGTCCCGGCTGTCAAGGTCCCTCTCAGTGGCAGCTCAACCCTCTGGTTCATCAGCCACTCCTCCCACTTTTTTTATCATCTACAAACTTGCTGAGGGTGCACACCTTGCCCCGTCGTCCTGGTCATTAAAGAAGAGGTTGAACAGCACTGGCCCCAGTACTGACCCCTGGGGTACACCACTACTGACTGGCCTCCAACTGCACCTTCCACTGCTGATCACAATCCTCTGGGTCTGGCCATTCAGTTTTTAATCCACTTCACTGCCCACTTATTTAATCCATACTGTTGTCAGCTT